GCCATTTTTTTCACCTCCCCCTGTCCCACCTATGCCGCAAGTCAGCTGCCAAGGCAATTGCGTTGTTTGCCCTGCCCTAGTTACTCTACTGCCAAAAAATTACTAAACTGCTCTGCAGCATTCCTGAAGTAGGTCACTGCATCCCCTCTTCCAAGTTTCTCATCTCAAATGAGATATTTTTGAAAAATAAATAATCAGAAGGAATGCAATTACCTACTTGAATCTAAAATGAGGTGCCCTCCCCCCACCCCCCCAGACAACATAGGGAAAAAAGCCCTTTGTCTTAGATTTGCATACAAAGCCAGTGGGGGCAGGTGGCTGCTGTGGCTCTGACTTTGGCCCTGAGCCCAGGTCAGGGCCAGAGTCAAACCTACAGCAGCTGCCTGCCCCTCACTCCATTTGTCTTGAACCTTCTTCCCTCCCCTGCCCACTTTCCCTCCCCTTACTGCGAGGCACAGCTTGGCTCCCTCTTGGGCTGGATTTTCTCCCAGGCATGGAGCACATGGAAACTCCTTCCCCTGCCTGGTCAATCAGCACTGCTGCCACTGCTGCATGGTCCAGCAAGAGCTGTGCTTCCATGTGCTGTGCTCCAGGGAGGGCATAGAGCCTGAGCTGTGTCTGACAGTGGGGGCAGGGGTGAAAGGGCAGAGACTGGGGAGCTGGGGGCAGGGAGAAGCAGAGACTGTGGGGAAATGGGGGAAAGGCAGAGAGTGTGGGGAGCTGGTGGTGGGAGGGTGCAGGTGGCAGCAGGGACAGGAAGGCTGCAGGGGGAAGAAATGGGGGCGGGGAGCACAGAAGGCAAGGGGTTCACCTGATTCCCACCAGCCTGTAGCAGTGGAGGGAGAGGGAAAACAAATTTAAGGCAACCCTTGAATGATTGGATTTTGTACCTGGAAAATTATAACACATTTACAACTTTTCCATATATAGAATATAAATATTGGGGCGGGGTGTCATCTTATATTCAGGGTCATCTTACATTCAAGTAAATATAGTTTCATAGCTTGTAGGGTCGGAAGGGACCTGAGCAGATCATTGAGTCTGACCCCCTGCCATGGCAGGAAAGAAAACTGGGGTCAAACGACCCCGGCTAGGTGTACATCCAGCCTCCTCTTAAAGATCGCCGGGGTAGGAGCTGGCACCACTTCCCTTGGAAGTTGGTTCCAGATCCTAGCCGCCCTGACAGTGAAGTAGCACCTCCTGATGTCTAGCCTAAATCTACCCTCTGCCAGCTTGTGACCGTTATTCCTGGTCACTCCTGGTAGTGCTCAGGGGAACAGGGACTTCCCCAGTGCCTGCTGATCTCCCCTGACTAGTTTCTAACAGGCCACTAGATCCCCCTCAGCCTTCTCTTGTGGAGGCTGAACAGGTTCAGGGCCCGTAGCCTCTCCTCGTAGGGCCTGCCCTGCTGCCCCCGATCATGCGAGTAGCCCTCCTTTGGACCCTCTTCATGTTGTCCACATCCGTTCTGAAGTGTGGTGCCCAGAACTGGACGCAGTACTCCAGCTACAGCCTGAGCAATGTCGCATAGAGGGGGAGTATCACCTCCGTGGACCTGCTTGAGATGCATCTGTGGATGCATGACAAGGTGTGGTTGGCCTTCCTGACTGCATCCCCACACTGCCAGCCCATGTTCATCTTGGCATCAATGATGACTCCAAGATCCTTTTCTGCCTCTGCACTGATGAGAAGGGAGTTCCCCAGCCTGTAGGTCTGCTGCTGGTTCTTCCTCCCCAGGTGCATCACCTTGCACTTGTCAGTGCTGAATCCCATCCTGTTCTCATCCGCCCACCCCTGCAATCTGTCCAGATCTAGTTGTAGCCTCTCCCTCTCTTCTAGTGTGCCCACCTCTCCCCACATCTTAGTGGTTGTTTAAAGTATAATATCGACCCAAAATTGACACCAGTATATTAGATTGCGTCTCATTAACGAAGTCTTCAAACATCAAGAACAATCAATTATTATATGTCAACTCTGTTCTTTATAGCTCACTCTAAGGGTAATGCACTTATCAAAAACAAATCAGCAAATGTTGTTCAGAATAGGAAGGGATGGAGAAAAAACAGCTGAGATGAGCCATTGCTATCTTCTCTGAAGTTATTACTCATTGCAATCATGTCCTAGTTATGCTGGATACATATAATGTTTGCTTTTTAATGCAACATAATGTCTAGTTTACAAGTCCATTATACTCTGCAACCTGCCCACTTGAAAAATGACCTGTCCATATAAGTCTTGCTGCCTTGAGTAGAATGTTTTGTTCTAATTTTATTGCTTTGCTTAGGAACTTTTAGTTTCTGTTGTTTCCCAAAATCCTGTTTTCCAGTAGTAGCAGAACAGTGGTCATTGAAGGCGTCACATCCAGACTTCTCCTCTATAACAGTCTGCAAGAATTTCAGGGCATAGCCTCAGTTTACCTGTTTAATCAAATTGTAATTAATTACCATTACACCAGGATTACAGGTCAATATTGGACACTGAATGAGTTTATAATTTTAATAAATCATTCTTAGCACCTTTCCCACATCATGTGCATGTGGGACCCTCCTGCATGACACCTCACCTCACCTGCAGCTCCTTGCAGGCTTCCTTGTGGCACTACACTGCACAGATGCTCTGGGTTGCTGGCTTGTTGCATTGCTCCACCTCTTGGGGAAGGGGCATGCAGCAGAAGCCTGGGGAGGGTGGGGAAGCCCTGAGACTCCAGCTTCTGCTGCAGCCAGAGCAGTAAGGGACAGTGGCGACCAGGTGGGAGACAGGGGGCTACATATTAATCCCTTATGGGCCATATGCAGCCTTCAGTCTGCCAGTTGGACAGCCCTGATCTAAACAATTACATTTTTAAAAAGTCAAAGCTATCTTTGTTCCTAATATGCATTGGATGCTAAAATGTTTGATGGCTGTCAGCAGTCTGTGACATATCCAAAATTGTTAATCCAAGGATTGTTCATGGTCAGCATTATTTAGTTATCTCTAACTAAAGTGACACTTCATAAAAATAGCAAATGGTTGACAACTAATGGCCTCTGAATTCTATTTCTAGCTCTAGTGTCTATTTCTGTTCCTCTTGGTTGCTTTTCTTCTAACAAATCAAATTTAGGATTGCAGCAGGAAATTTAGATTTAACCTCAAGAGTCAATGTTTTGTCTCATATCTACTCTAATGTGATGCAGATGTTGGGACTGTTGTATATAACTCAAGATTTTATTGAACTAGCCCTCCTGGCTTAATAGAAAACATAGCAAACTTCAGTGCACATTAAACACAGACAATTCTGAGGACAGCAATCTTGAGAACATATATAAATATATTTACAAAATGCTTGAGATTTTTTTTTCAAACTGCAAGTCCCTCAGCTGTTCTGTATGAATGAGGAAGGGGAGAAGAAAGTGAGGATTAACTAAAATGTAAAAAAAAAAAAATAAAAATAAAAGAAAAAGTAAGAAAAGACCTCAAAGGATTTACAGGCTGATTTTTTTCCTGTTTTTTATGTTAATAATTTGGTAGTTGTTAGCAAATTTATGGGCTGTACTGAGTATTTTTTAAACGTCAGATGCATCATCCCTTATCTTGACCCCTCCTATTCTAGTTTTCCCTTTTTAGTTAGCTTATGAGGGGCTAAATAACTTATTGGTGAACACCAAAATATTTTGAGCTAACAAAACACTGTACTGTGCCATGTGAACCCCAAAACACACTAACTTTAAATTTTTCCTTCACAACTTTATTTTTACTGAAACATGAATTTTCTTATTTGTAAAACAGTATTAAAAACTGCTGTTATGCTGTGGAACCAGTTAAGCATCATTCTGGCTCATAATTAAGATATTACAAAATGTAAGGCTATAAACCAAGGTTACATCACCAGAGGGTGCTCTTCCTCCCCACAACACAATACTAATCTTGTTATATCAGCTTCATTTTAAATTTCTGCAGTCTATGCAGTGCAATCTTCAGGCAAAAAATAGATTGGATAGAAAGCACTTGATAGCCAATCAGAAAGGAAGAAAGGAAGATAGAGGTGTACAGAAAAATTATGTCACAGCAGTAGTGCAGATATCTACTTACTATCATGATGACCGATATTGTTTCCTTATGCTCCCTTTGTCTAGCTTTATCCCTCTGTTGACTCTTGTCTTAACCCCCAGACTAAGTCTCTTTGGGGCAGGGATTTTTTTACTACAATAGCATTTTGGTCATGACTATGATTCCTGGCTGCTACGGTACACTAATAGTAAGAATAAAAATAAGAATAATATGGATGTTAGCATAGTACAAGAGAATCCCCAATTCCTGTCCTGTCCTGTAATTCTAAGATTAAAAGAAAGTCAAAGTGTTAAAAAGTCACTGTTCTGTTTTCAAATAAGGGAATATACAAAATGACAATAACATAATTACAATATTGTGAGTTGATCATTTATAATCACTAGCCCTGGTGTGAAATCATTCAATAGAATCCTTGCATATTAAACTGTGAGCCTAGTATTTCCCTATTAATCAAACTGATCTGAGTAATGAATTTGTCTGTGTTTGTGGTTAATTGTCTTTGCCTGTCTTTTCCATCTGTCTGCTTCTTGTGGTATGTTAATCTCTTACTGCAGGAATGTACTAAACCTAGAAACACTGGGACCTGCTCTCAGCTGGGGAATCAAAGATGCTACTGTAATGCAAATAATACATGTTATTGAACTGCAGGGAAATCTTTAGTTATGACTGACATCAGTGCATTTTCCACCCTTAATGCCTCAAAATGTCTGCTGCTTGTCTTATAATAGAAGAAAATCTATATGGTCAGCCATTTACAGAAGCATCACTTAATAAAATAATAATATTGATGGTTACATTACTGCAACCAGCCTTGACCTTCAGATTACATACCCAGTATGGAATTATTAAATCATAAAAATGCACAATAGTTCTGTTATCATAAGAGTAAAGATTTGATGCCATCAATTCAGCATGACCATAAATCATCACATTTAAATCTCATTTCTTTCCAGGCTTAAGTATAGTTCTTTCCTTTCCGCAGACACTATACAACATTTACAAGTAAGTGCATTAACAGAAGTGCTTTACCATTTTACTTAAAACATTGCATTTAATGGTTTTCTCATACGAGACATAACTGTTTGGAACATTTGAAAAACCTTTGTTTCTTTCAGCCAACTACTGGACTACAAACGTAGTGTATGTTTTTCTGTGTCAAGTTTTCAGAGTCCGTGACACTGGTTTCTTTTTGTGTTTGTAATTCTTCCAGTTTCCCTTTCACTTTCAGTCTTCCAGACACACAGTCTAGCTCATTTCCTCTTTGTAAGTGTTTTTCACCAGGTACATTAAGTAGATTAATTCTGTTGGTTAACAATACTTTATTCAAATGTGCTCATAGTTTTCTTTAATGCTATTGGCTACTAAAAGTAGATCAGTACAGGTGATTACCTTAAACCAGTTTATCCTTTTCCAAATCTCTTAAAACTCCTCTCCATAAAACACACAGAAAACTCTGGTCAGGTAAATGCTGGGCAAGTTGTAACTTGTGATTATTGTTGATTGGCTTATTACACCTATGGATGATACACATGCTACCCAGGGTAGTTACTCTACCCTGAAACAGCTGTTTTCTGTTATATTTTTCTCTTTTTTATTTATTTCTTACCCTGCCTCCCTTTGTATATCTGTTTTTTCAGACTCTAACCTCTTTGCTGGAACTATAACTAGGGATCTACTTAAAACACATGGAGGGGAAGTAAAAATTGCACCTGGCACCATTTTTGTGGTCTTTTTGTGGCAACTCCCTCCCTCCACCCCCACCGCTGATTGGCCAAGGGTCCCTGGAAGCCCCGCCCCTCACTGCTGATTGATGGAAAGGGCTGCCTTTCATGTGGCTCCACTCCTTGCTGGTGATAGGCAGAGAGGGCTCCCCTTGATGTGGTCCCACCTCTTGCTGTTGCTGCTGATTGGCAGAGTGGGGCAGGCCCACACAAAAGGCAGCCCTCTTGGTCAGTCAGCAGTGGAGGGAAGAGAGGATGGCTGCCATTTTGGCTGCTTATCTTCATACTAGTGGTTTCCTCTTGACCCCGGTGGGCTGGGAGGCTGGTCTGCAGCAGCCAGTGCCTTCCACTGTGGAGCCATTTTATTTTTAGTAAGTTTCTTTTCCTTCTCATGATTCCATGCAAAATCATGGGGTACAGCAGTTCTCACAGTAATTGCGGAAACAGCCTTTTTTGGTGGTTTCTGTGAAATTGTAAAATTGCAAATTGAGTAGATCCCTAACTGTAACCTGCCAATGTTAAGAGCAACTTGGTAAAAGCCTATAGGTATCAGTGGACATGTTTACATGTGCACTATTACTGTGCAATAACTTAGGTTGTTGTGTAGTAACTGAAAATTACTGTGCAGTACAGGTACATGTCTACATGTGCACGCCCATGCTGCACAATAACTATGATGACTTACACCTACTTGGTAGTAAATTTGCTACCTGCGAGTAATTACTGCACAGTGAGGTACATGTAGATGCCTTACTGTTGAGTAACCCTGTTTGTATGGACTGATTTGGGAGTAACTCTCAAGTCAGTGCACACAGTGTTACTGTGCTGTAATGCCTACACGTGTAGATGCTAAAAACTGCTTAATGCTCAGTGAGTTACTATGCAGTAAATACATGTGTAGACACACCCAGTGAAATATAAATAACAAAGATTATATAGATTAAAATCTAGATACCATATAAAATAATACGACTCTCCTAGCACAACCAGGGCTGTTAGAATCATTTACAAAGGTGCACGCAACTTCTGGGGACAGACATAGGCAGGTTCTGAGCCTCTTGCATCCACCCACACATGATCTTGCTGAGCTGCTGAAGCATGCTGTCCACCCTAAAATATGTCTATTACCTGCATGGTGGGCCAGACCAGGTAGGATTAAGTTCCCCGCAGCGCAGTTCCCACTTGAGATGTCCTCAGTGACTGTCTAACTCTGTTCCATCCCTAAAACCATGCTGTACTATAAGACAGGGAAGGAAATTACACATAAACTGGTACAAGTGATCAGAAACTGGTTCAAATCTGTAATGCAGCAGAAGTTCAGTGCATATAAACCACTTTCAAAAGGGCCCAAACCAGTTTAAGCTAAACCTGGATGGATGTAGTATCAGACTTAACTGATTTAAGTTAAATAGGTTTATTAAACTTCTGTCCCAGATCTCCTCCAGAGTCAAGCTGTCTGCTCCAGCCAAGCAAGGGGGCATGCTCTAGCATGTCCTGGTTTCTGGCCTGGGCTGCTGCAGGCATGTGGCTGCTTTTCCGGAATCAAAACTGAATGTGTGTTTACTTGCTTATCAGTTCAATCTACACAGCTTAGGCTAACTTGCAAAGATTTAATTGATTCAGATTTCGGCTTTTTGACTGCCTGTACTTAGCCCTAAAGTTCAACACGTGAGACAGGTGTTATGGGCACTGAAAAGGTGATGGTATTTGTTCCCTTCTTTCTCAGCACTTTCTTTCTTTTTCCTGTGCTTTAGGGCTTTTGCTGGTCAATAAGGGCCAGAAAGAAATACCTTCCCTTCCACCCACTCTATGAACACTACTGATTTCTGTTTTTCAGGGGGCAAGCCCAGGGAGGGGCATTCCTCTTCCTTTAGCCTATGACATAGAGTCTCCTTAGTGTTTTGGGTATTGTGCCATGTAGTTGCAAGTGAAGGTTTAAAGTGGCAAATAGGGAGATTGTTTGGGTAAATGATGGCCTGTGAACACAGGAGACTAGGTTTAATGGCCCAAAAGTCTCCTTGTAGTCCTATGTTCCTGTGCTTTGTATTATATTTTTCTTCTTATGTAAACATGGAACATGGCTTCTGCCTTCTGGCTTAAGAGACAATATGTATAATTTCTGTTACAGGAGCTCCAAACTCCAATCCAGGCAGGTATAAATTAGTAAATCTGAAGGCATATTCATAAATTGTGTGGTAATTCAGAATTGAGGTTTTCCAGCAAACCTGCCCTCTTTCCTAACTTGCAATAGGTTTGCAACTGCAAAATTTTTTGAAAGAGCAAAACATTTAACAGATTTTATGCAGCTGTTTTGTGTGTGTTTGCATTACATATATGTACACATATACACATATATATACATACACACATTCATGCACACACTTGTACACACACACATATTCAGGCTTTTTAAAGAAGGCATCTTTCAGTATTTATTTATATATAATGTTGTTTTTTCTAATCATATATACAAATATATAACTTGATCATGCAATCCTTTGCAAGGCAAATCTTCCATAGACATACTGTCTACTCAACAATTCAGTCTAAATAAGAACATAGAACCAGTATATAACATTTATCCTTTTTCCTAACTCTGACAGCTAATAGTCAATTCCTTATGACTTCCAAAACATATTTGAAATTTCAAAAATCAAGAAAATGCAATGTTATTTCTGTTTATTCTATTTTTTATAATTAAAAGGATATTTTTCACGTCAATGGCATTTTGGTGATGATGCAGCCATACTCATTTAGCAGAAGTATATCTACAACTAAACAGCAATGCTATTAGCCACAAATGTTAGTTTTACATTTACTACAGTGCATGTGGATGTGCTGGCTGAAAACATCAGCAGCCTCACATTAAATTTCATCATCTAGATAAAAATTTTCACAGCAACTCCACATGCTATGCAATAGGATGACAATTACATTAACACAGCTACTGTAGGTCATTCCAGGTGAGCTTGCTATTTTTATTGCTAGATGTTGATAAATAGGGGAAGCTGACCCAAAAATATGGCAATAAAACATATACTCTGTCTAAAATTACACAGATCTGCAAGAAGTTCTTTTAGACTGTTTAAGCATCTTATGTATTGCACAGGAGTGATAACATGAGACATGGCTTGCTCTACTTCACAGAGCTTGTTCAAATTAGAGTTCTGCAGTTACTAGGGAAATGTAGATTAGGTAACATGTTTTGCTGCTTAAAACAGATAGTTCTGTTTATTTTCAGGGCATACTTAAAGAAAACACTGAAGAGAGATTCTTTCTATGATGGATGTGTACCTCTGGTGTCTCCTATCCTGCTGTTTACTCTCATTAGCATTTGGGTGACTTTATCTCCATGCGATATACTTGCAAAAGAAACCAGAATGTTTTTCTGGATGCTTGGTGTTACTTTCTCAAATATTCTTGTAAGTATTTTGTGACTGTGAAGTGTATTTTGAGACAACTTTCTTTCAGCAGTACTGTTCTTTGATTTGATGCAAGTAAACCCAAGAGCAATGTTAAATTTCCTAGAAGCATTTGCACTGGTCTTTAGTTCTAGAATCAAGGGTCAAAACAAAGCTTCCACATTGCAGTCTCCTTTATAAAAACGTATTGCATCAGTTGTTAGAAATGCTGAAGGTTACTCTAATTTTTAGTTTTTTACTATATTGTAGCATTTTCATATGGGCTCTTCTTCCAGGGTTTATGAACAATGCTGAGGACTAGAAAAATGGCTATGTACCACTGTTGGGTGTGAAATTTTGAGTATATAAGTGATGTATAGGCCTCATGATGGCCTTGTGCTCAGTGGTGATTTTCTCTTGCATCTCCATTGTTCTCTAGCACCTCCTTTCATTATCTTCTAATGTGGATTGTGCAAGAAATCTTTTTGAGATTGTGAAAGGGCTTACAATAGAATAACAATGAACATTATTTTTAATACATAAGATCTCGTTGAAATCATGGTGTGAGCCCCAATTCAAGTTAGTAATTGGCTTTATTGGAACTTAGATACATGCTGAAGTGCTTTGCTAAATCAGTGCCTTATGTTAAAAATTGACTGCCCTGAAACAAATCCTAGAAAAGTGTTGCATTTTTTGCAAAAAAATACAGTTTAACATATATCAGTAAATAGTATAACATAGTGCAAAAGGATACAAGGCTATTTCAGAGAATTATATGAGTAAACAATTAGCTTTATACCATGATCTACAAAGGCACTAAGATATTGGACAGTCAGTAGCTTTTCTACAAATTTTCAGTAGAACCTTGTTCCTGCAAAAATAAATATAGTTTAGTAGATTTAGTGATGCATATTTTACACTATATTTTATTGACACTGTATTTTAATAATTTGTAGTGCACATTTCATTATATAAGTGAATTTCAATCAAAGCTGTGATCACTGCAATATAGGGCATGTATTTCTTAATATGTAAAAGCGAGTTACTTGGATTTACAAGCATTTAGTCTCATCAAAAGTACTGCCAATTTCAAGAGATCAGAAACCATGAGTAATTAGATTCTATTTTGTTCCTGCCCAGCTGCAGTGCACACATGCGTGTGGGTGAGAGTGACGTTAGCACTGTCTGCTCTCAACCCCACATTTGCCCCTCCCCTCCCCAGCAATTGATTCCGACTGAAATTTTGAAATAAATCATGTCTGTCCAGTCCCTGCATCAATTCTCCCATTCCCACCTGCCCAGCCCCCACCCAGGCCCATGTGAGTAAAAATGAACGTCTATGTACAGCGCTCTTTTTCCAAGCATTCTTTTAAATTTATGGTCAGAACTGAACTAGATCCATCATAGGGAATGCCAGGCTTGTTTTTCAAGGCTACAAATTTTGACGGCAAAATTTTTCATTACATAATATATACTTTTTCTAAGCAAGTAGTCTGTACCCTAAAATGAGAAAAACATGTATTTTGTATGAGGAAGAAAGGTATTCCAGAGTTTGACAGAAGGCAGACTCAACTTAAACATCTCGACCAATCAAGAAGAACTGTGGCAGGATACATTTAAGGGGAAAAAATTAAGCAAGCCAAAAATTTCTTGTTAGGCTGGAGTTTATCACAGCTATTCAGTGTAATGTGTGTTTCAAGGTCCTGGTTTACTAAAATAACCACTGCTGTATGAGAGTTACGTGCATTAAACACGTGTAAGTAGTAGTTCAAACTACTACAATTTGAAGAGCAAAAAGCTACATTTCCTTTTCCTCCAATAGTGTTTACACACAGTCCTTTCAGAGACTGAGGAGATGTTGTCATAGTGATAGCTTTTCACCCTGAGTTTTGATACATCAGGTTTTCATTATCTATTTTGTAGACCACAAACTGCAGCCCACACTTCTTTAACTGCCAATAGCTTGCACTTCTCATTCCTTTGACAACATGTTTATATGCCCAGTAGGTACATTTGGCTTAAAGCCTGCTTTCAGACTTGACCTCATAACAATTCAGTGTCAGAATGGGCAGGGAAGACAGAGGCCTCCTGGGAAAAGAGAAAGAGAGATGCCTTTAACTGGAAGGTCTAAGAGACAGGTAGCAGAAAACCAAGGAAGGCCCAGAAAGAATCGGTGGGCATGCCTCTCTATATGGACAGCTCCTTTCTGTTCCTCCCTCCCTCTCACAGTCTGTCCCACTGGCAGCCAGCAGTAGCGTGGATCCTGGGTGCTGCAAAGTGAGGCCGTTGGAGAAAGCTCACTGTGCATGTGTCTGCTGGGCAAGACTGCAGCTCTCATGCTGAGACTGGAGCTGTCTGTGGAAAAAGGGGATGTGGCCACACCCCCGCACCCCTCTGGATTCATCCCTGAGCCAAAGGCAGCATTGCCTTTTGGAGCCACACCATTCACCCCAAGGAGCGATTCTCTTGATCTGAAACAAACTCCCCTGAGAAATATCCAGGCAAATTGTATATGGGCAAGTAGGGACAAGAGGCAAATGATCAAACTTTTATATGAATTGCAGGTACTCTTAGAAACCCCTCTGAGGCAAGGAGAGATTTCTGTTCATAGTTGAACACTTCTATTAAGGTTTTAGGTTCAGAAGTAGAGAGTTTGGCCCTTTTGGAGCAGGTCAGCTGGACAGAGCAGGGTGCCCTCACATATACATCAGGTCTAAATCTTGTCAGATTTTCCTACATACCGTAATAGGCAATATTAATAAAACAGTTCCTACAAAAAGAGAAGCTACTGTATAACCAGGTAACAACAAAATATAGAAAATATGGTCATATGATTCCTAAGTATAATAATAGGCATGTGGATTGTAAAGGGTAGGAAGACTTAAGGAGTTCCATACTGGGTCAGATCAATGGTCCATCTAGCCCAGTATATCATTTCCAATGGTGACAGGAATGGATGCTGTACAGGGAGAGCACTGAACCAGATCTCTCTGGAGTGACTGATCTCCTGTTAAGTACCCTCCCTGGCATCTGCCATTTTAAGTTTAGAGATGCCAGAGGAAATGTCTTCAGTCATTCTATTCAATAACCATTAATGGCTTTATCATCCATGAATTTATTCAGTCTCTTTTTGAGCCCTGGCTATGCTATCTGCTTCCACCACCTCCTGCGGCAGTGAATTCCAAAAGTTAACAACGTGTTGAGTAAAGTACTTGCTCTTAGTTATTTGTCACCTACTAATTTCAGCAGGTGCTCCTTAGTTCTAGTATTCTGGGACTTGGTGAACAACAGTTCCCTGTTCAGTTGGTCCATTCCCTTCATGATTTTATAGACCTCTGTCATATGCCCCTTACCCAAATTGAAGATGACTTTGAATTTTAAAATGATCCCCCAATGATTAAATCAGGGTTTGGCAGCATTTTTGACTGGAGTACCAAAACAACCCAACCTCAACCCACACCTTGACTTGGCATGCCAGGGGCAGATGGTTGGGGAGCTGCAAGGGGCCCTATCTTTGTTGCCAGTGGTGGGTGCATGCATGCCTCCAGGTGGATGGCAAGGGTGGTGCCAGGGTTGTAGTTTCCTGAACCCTTCATTGTCCATGTGTCCCAAGGTGTGCGTGCAGCCACTACTGGCCACAGCAGCAGGCAGGCTGCAAACAGCTGCACTGAGGTCCAGAGCCCTGGCTCTGTGGACAGTGGTGGCTGCATATGTGCCTTGGGGTGCACAGTAGATAAGGGGCCGGGGCAGCATAATGCATTGCCAGCAACAAGCCAGGATGGGGCTCTGCAGATGGCTCACAGTAGCTTGCAACCTCCCAGCTGCCTGCCACAGCCACAGGACCCTGCTGCCCACTACAGAGTCTGGGCTGCTTGCAGCAGGCCTTGCAGTCTCCCTGTCACCTCCTGCGAGCAGCCTCAGCTCTGTGGCCAGTGCCAGCTGCCCAGAGCCTGGGCCAGTTGTGACATGCCAAGCAAAATGGCCTCGTGTGCCATGTTCTGGCATGCATGCCAGGGGTTGCTGACCCCTGAATTAAAATTATAACACATTTATAATTTCCCATGTATGAAATCCAGTTAGTGGAAGGCTGTCTTAAATTCCCCCCCCGACTCCCCACTGCTGTGGCAGGGAAAGAAGTGGCCAGGGACAAGGGATCAGGGTTTTGTTTTGTGTTTTTTTAAACCATGCAAAAATATATTTTAAAAGACCTTGAATGCAAGCAGCTGGACATCTGCAGTTGCTCAGCAAAATACAGGGTTTTCTCACCAAGAGTATGCCATTGTATATAATACACACCTTGTTTTTGAAAGGCAGCATGAAGAAAAAAAAATCTTTCTTGTAGTAATTGGGTGGCAGCAGTTTTGGAGCCACACCTACTGCCAGCCCTGCATGCAAGGTCTGGATTTTCAAAAATCTCTTCCTTTAAAAATGGGATTGAGGCACCTTTGAACTTTTTATCCCAGTCTTGTTAAGTTTAGTTTAGTATTTAGTCATTTTAAGCAGAAAAAAATCTTTGAGGGTGTAAAAAGTAGAACATATGTTATGAAAATGTGAATCCAAACTCATTACAGTTTCAGGATCTCAAAATGATATTAGTATATTTCACTTGCACAGCACTTTACATATTCCTTCTATCATTCCGACTACGACCCCTGTGCTTTCAATCTTCACAAATACTTGAGAGCCCATTTCTTCATAATTTATCTAGATAATTTGGATTTCCCAGGTGGCTGTGTGAATGTAGAATGCATGGATGTCGAATTAAAGATGATAATGTTTAGAAGCAGCACAAATGTATATACCGCATTGTTCACTTTAAGTAATGTGAGTCAGTGGGTAATTTAGTCATACCAAGTGAATGCAGTACATTGGTCCTGTGATTAAGTGTTTGGATGTTCAATTTAGCATTGCACTTTTATGAGTATCTGTGAAAACTTCAAGTGTCAAACAAACTGCCCTTTATGCAAAATTGTTCTTAAACTCATAAAGTATAACATGTCAAAACACTGTCTCCATAAAAGCAATGTATGTTTTACATTACATGTAATAAAGTGCTCTAAGAATCGCAGCCAATAAAGGAGCAAAGACAATCATTTATGGTAAATCTCAGACTTGGAATGAACCCAGTTTCCCAATCCCAACTCTTTTTCAATCAAAAACACTCCACCAGGCAAACTAGCTGGTTTCCTTTAAGTAAGCTACCCCTGTGCTTCTTACCTGGCGGTTTATATTATTCCAACAGGTCAGGATGATCATTTGCCAGATGAGTAACACCAGACCCAAAGTTTTCCACTGGTTCCTGTTTCCACTAGCTCTTGTGGTCTACACAGCAGTAACTGGGCAGCTGGGGAGGATGGAGCCAATGGTACTCGCCTTATTCAACGTGTTTGTCACAGCTGCTCATGTGCACTATGGCATCTGTGTGGTAAATATCTGCTTTTCTAATTTTATTGCTGATTGCAGACAAAAAAATTGCTACTGATGCAGAAGAGAGAAACTAATTTTAGTGCACGTGGTGTTGAAGGAGGGGGCTAGGTTCTTCAGATTTTCAGTGTATCCTTTACTGTCCAAAGTTACTAAGTCCTAATTAAAGACTCGTTCACTGTAGGCACCATGTTCCCACAAGGAAAGACACTTACGTTGCTCAAAATATTACAGAAAAATGACTGCTCTCAGCTTGAAAACTATCAGGGACATAATCTTTGTTGATGTGTTGTTGCACATCCCCAGTCTCTCTCTCTTTCCCCTAAAGGTGCACTGATATATTGGTCCATATCATATTGGCGATGATAAAAGGAAAATTGACATTATTGGCAATTGGCTTTTTTGGCTGATGTGGCCAATAATATCGCCAATAAATGCCATGTGCACGTGTGCAGCCACAGCATTCACACTGCCAGCTTGGCAGCTTGGAGAGCAGCGTCCAGCTGGTAAGTCTGCTGAGGGGAAGGAGTGTGATGGAGGGACAGGCATTGGGTGGGGGGAGAAGTAGATCGAGGCCCCTGCAGTGAGGGAGGGAGTGGGGCTGGGGCAAATGCTGCCCAGCCAGGGTGGGGCGAGGCCAGGATGGAGCCGCAGCTCATTCAGGGGTGGGTGTGTGTGTGGGGAGGACAGCTCCTGCTGCTGCATGCACCTCCAAGGGAGGCATGGGGGGGTGGGTGTGCCTCCCAGATCTGTGCACAGGGTGAGGGCGGGCTGCCGCTGTGGGCTGGAGCCAGGGGCAGCACTGGCCTCTTCCCTGCGGGGGGGCTGGGCTGGGGCTGTGCTTGAGGCAGGTGGCAG